TAATGTCGTCTGCATACATCAGTACGTGTACATCTGGGTGAGTCTTCAGTACTTTTGGTAAATCGGCCGTATAAATGTTAAACAAAAGTGGTGATAGTGCTCCTCTCTGCGGAACCCCACTCGTGCATGGACAACAATTTTACATGGCTGATACTAACGAAAACTTCAGATAAGTCAAAATATACCACGTCGACTTTTTTTCTCCTCAAGAACAGCATTGATCCAGTCACGGCTGCAGTCCAGTAGTTGGGTAATGTAGATGCACCATTACTGAACCCATGCTATTCAGGTGGTATGAACTTGAATTTATCGAAGTAGTCAAGGAGTTTGTCTTGTAAGATTTTTTTTAAAAACTTTGCATGGGATAGAGTTCATGATTATGGGTCTGAATTCGCCTCCGGAATGCGGATTGGTCGTCTTGGGAATGGGAGTAACAATCCCTTCCTTCCAGAATTCTGGCACCTGTCTGCAGATGAGGCAAATGTTAAAAATATGAGAAAGTGGGATTAAAAGTTCTTTTGCATTTTTTGAAGAGATGTGGGAGTCCATCGAAAGGTTCAAATGTTGAGGGCTTCAATTTTCCGAGGAAGCGTTGGACCGTAGGAGCCATGATTGTAGGAGCTGTACATGTATGGCGTAAAGGAGGTCCAATAGGTTTTGGAGCAGAACTATCATTAGATGTCTTAGCAAAAAATTTGGCAAAGGCTTCGGCCTTGTCTTGGTCACTAGGCAAATTGTACCTAATGCATCTTTCGAGGCACCTAGTTTTTGGTTGACATTTTATGATGGATATAAGAGAAGAGGTTCTTAGAGTACTTACAAGGAGAGGGTACTTAGTCGAAAGCACCAATCCAGATGAGACATATATCATCTTAAAGCGCGTGAAACGCTGATTCCAAATCTGTAGTTTCTCGCTGCGGAGCGGTTTTGTAGAAGGAGTTATGAAGGATGTTCCCCTCTGGGGTTTAGGCGCCCTCCAGCGGTCTCTCCTTATCTGTAAGCACTGTAGAGGAGTATCAGCTGATGGCAACTGACCTAATGGTAAGTAACTTGAACGAAGATCACAGTAAAGATTATAATACTCATTTACTTCGGTTTTTTTAACACTTCTAACTTCGATTAGTATCAATATCATCAGAAGTTTCATGCTTTAGGGCTCTAAAGCCATTTAGAAGTTCAATTTAGCATGCGAAGGGGATTAAAACCTTGGCACTCTCTTTATCAAGCACGTCACTTACCACTAGGTCAGTCGCCACCAGTTGGTACTCCTCTACAGTGCTTATAGGTAGGGGGAGACTTGGTGGAGGGCGCCTCAACTCCGGAAGAAACACCCCTTATAACTCCCTCTACAAAACCGCTCCGCAGCTAGAAACTACAGATTTGGAATCAGCGTTTCAAGCGCTTTAAGATGATATATGTCTCATCTGGATTGGCGCTTTCGACTAAGTATCCTCTCCTTGTTAGGTCTAAGGCATACCTTCAGCGATCCCGTCGTTACGATTTTCGATTAAAAATACAAAATTTCATAACAAAGAAGAAGCTATTCGAGCGATTCGCTCATCGATGGGTCGGAACTAGCGACGGCGACATTGCTGAGTTTCAGCAATGTCGCAACGATTTCCCTGCTGAGGTATGCCCGTCCAAAAACGACCCGCGATCCGTCGCGGCGTCAATCTAACACAGACGCGGAGGGACCACACAGGTGGAGGCGCCTGCGCTGCGGACTCGGAACATGTGTCCGAGTTGAAATTTGCGACGCGACTGTGATCGCGGGAGGTATGCCTTAGGCCTTAGAGGAAGCCAAACGTCTTTCATGATTTGCGAGGAATTTTTTGAGATGGTATTTTATATCGGAACAAACTTTCTTACACAAGGGAATATCATATCGTGAAATTTTGAATAGTCTTTCCTTTTGAAGAATGAGCGACTGTAAATTGCCAGGGTGTTCAAGATATCCAATTTTAGGAGTTCTAAATGGAGTGTATGCTGCCATAATAAACAAAAATAAACAAAAATAAGTTTGTACATAATGTTACAGAATCTATAGTATATATAGATATCAGTTGTTTCCATAGTGTATATATATATCAGTTGTTTTTGAATTTGCAAATTTTATGATGCGAAAGTTCAGTGCAAACATATTCCCTTTACATGTACACTAGCTGAGTTTATTGAAATTTGAATGTTATACCACTTACTTGGGATGTGGTGCAGGAGGAACCAAAGGCCTTGCCGCATGCATCCAAGAGGGAAAGTGGAAGGCAGATGAGACTCCGCCCATCGCTCTGCCCACGGGATGCCCCCACTGTGTGTTAAGCAAGAATGGTAGATGGACTACCAGACATTGATCAAATTTGATTGATCACGAGGTTAAACTGTGAATTGGAACTTCGGAAATGGACAGTAAAGATCCTCAAACAGGTTTTCAGGTACCGGGATGATAACAAAAGTATTAGAGTGTGCCAAAAGTAAGATCCATTTTCAAATAATTTGAGCTATTTTTGTTTTCGATAGAGCGCTGCAAGCTCTATAAAAAGGCCACCAAAGATCCTCCTAAGTCGTAACCCATGTAAAATTTAGAGCCAAAAATCAAGATTTTTCAGTACCCTAGAAATCGGATTCCCTTCCAGAAAATTCGCGTTGACTTCCGACTTGGTCTCTATATAGTAGACATATAGTAGTACCCAAAAATGTACTTGGCGGATTTTTCCCGGGGCTCAACATTGTAGATGGTCCGAAAATGCCAAAATGCCGCTTTTTTCGGTTTTTTTAAAATGTAAAACTTGATATTTCTCGATTATAAGAGCACATACAGGGGTGAAGTTTTGAGCTTATACTTATTGTTAGTAAAGCTTGTGGTATACCATGACATATGTGGGGGGAGAGGGGCTGGGGCGGAGCTTGCCATTTTTGTCCTATCTTATTTTTCTCGCTTTCTAAGCTCGAAAAAAATCCAATAAAGGCATATTTGAGTACTACTATGCTATATAATGACCAAGTTGGAGATCCGTAGGGTTTTTCTTCGCAAAAATCCAAATTTCAGATGACAAACTTTTTTCGATTTCGGCTTCAAACTTAAGCAATGCGACTTAGATGAATCCTTGGAGGTCATTTTATAGAGCATGATCTGCTCTTTTGAATGAAACCCAAAGTATACTAGGAAAACAAAAACAGCTTGAATTGTTTGAAAAAGGAGTTGAATTTTGGAAGAACCTGATAGTGTCATGTCATAAACCTGATAAAGGAATAGAGTAACGGCCATCTTTGTAAGAGAACACCGCTACAATTTGATTGTTGCTAAATTTGGTTCGATATCGAAGTGATGTTGATACAAAGCTTAGAGGGTGGGTTACCAAAAAATTGATTAAGCAGGAGAACATACGCCGAAAATGAAGTTTCAAAGTGATTCTAACAATAACGCTAACAAAGAGACTAATAACTACATCCCGGATACTCAGATCCAAAAAGGACGTAAAATGCAAACGCAAACATCGTTATGCCTGAGACGAGGCTCTGAAGCTATTACACAGCTCGAAGCGGGAACCAAACCTGGACAACCAACTTTTACCCGCTGGTAGCTGTCGAGCCATGGGATTATAGAAGTGGGACAAAATCTGATAATAGCTTAATATAGGAGAAATAGGAATAAGAGAAAACCAATAAATATTACTATAACTGTCATAACAGACAAGTTTTTGTGACTTTGCCTGCTTTGTGCAGCTTTTTGGCCGAGTCTGATTTTGCAACTCGAACATTTTTGATTAGTGATTTGGCATCTACTTTCGCAAATTCGCCTTTTTGAAACATGACTTTTAACGTTTTTCTCGCGAATTTTTCTCACCCTTACCCCCCCCCCCACCCCCGCCTCTCCGAGCAAAACATTTATTGGACCTAACAAAAGAATAAAGTTTTTACTTGAATCATGACTTTCACGGCGACTGGCTACGACTGGCTTGGTCCTGCAAAGGTTAACTAATCGGCTATCGATTAGCACAAATGCAACTACAGTGAATGTCGTAAAAGATTGAGAAAATGATCTCAGGAAAATAAAAATTTAGGAATTGGAGCAAAAAGTAGAATGCTCGCAAAAGGTTCTTGTAATCTAAAATCGAGCTGGAGCTCTCATAAAAGTTGTTCATCAATTCCAATCTTTACGAGAATGCTAGAGTTGCATTAATGCGAATTCATACAAAGGTCCATTTAAAAGCGTCTTTCAAAACTGGTCACAAACTTGATTCCCAATCCTTGTATCTCCACCCAAGTCTTTTGAACTAGCTTTTTCCTTCAAGGCATTTCTAAGCAAAAAAGGCAAGACCCAGACTCAGGGCAGGAGGCGGAGCTTGGAAGGTTGCCAAGTCCTTCTTGGCACGCGGCCAGCTCCTCCCCTTTCCCGCTTGGCCTTTGGTTCCTCCTGCATCGCCGCCCTTACTTGGATGCGAGATGAAACTATGAAGTTGTTGCTTGTAATTGCAACAATCAATATTTTACGATTCCTAAGTTGGCTCTGTAATTTTCCGCGGTCGTTGCGACAACATAATATTGAAAGAGAAATGGTAGTATTTACGCTTGATTATTGCTTCCAAACACCTCTTGTACAGTGGTTTTTAGACTGAAATCTGAGAATGCTAGAGATGATTAGGCGCATTCGTTCAACTATGCCTTTTGAGAGGTAATGGCATAACTAAAATGCTCATTTCTACTCTGCGATCTTTTTTTGACTTTTTTGAGCTTTTTTCTGAATTGCTAATTGCTAATCACAGCGACGGAGTAATTTTAGGAACATAATCTATACAATCGGGTTTTCATTGAAGCAAGGTCAGCCGTGTCCTTTTTAACGACAACAACATCTTATTATTATCTGATAATAACACTTTCGTTCAAGATATCAACAGCTAGAAAATAAAACAATTGTCTACCCGCATGAAAGTCTATCATCTCCACTACACATCCACAATAAAATAGTCACAGTATATCCTATCAAGCTTTCTCTCAAACTAAACTCAACGAAACAGGAACAATCTTGAAAAAATCCAAACGTACAAAAATGACGTGGAAGAAGTGACTGTTGCCTTTGTGTACTCGGGAATATAATAGCTAAGCAACCGGTCGAGTTCATCGATATCGGAATGACGAAGAACCGGCTCGTCCGGTATGAACATCCGAAAGTGTAGCATTTCTTGAAAGCGTAAGCGATAGAACAAAGTAGACGTGTCAAATTCGCTGCAAGCAAGTAAAAAACCATTGCTCTGTGTAACCACTGCACTTACATAGAAATACATTTGACTCATTTGATATCGAGTATGCTTTAGATTTTTGGTTGGGTTTAGTCGACGAACATTTAAAGGCATCGTCCACCTTGGTGGTGAGATTTTGTACTAAATAGCGAAGTCCCTAATTACATGACCGCCCAAGTCCCGTTACAAAAGATGAATATTGAATGAAAAACGCTTCAGAATGTAGAAGCAGTCAAGGTGGGTGGTCTAAGAAATAAAACAAAATTGGGTGGATGGTGCTTTCAATGAGGGTACAAAATGAAGACAAAGAATATATTATCTTAAAAGAATTACAGACCTACCTGAAAGGCGAGGGTATGCTCACATTGTTGCAAAGGGATGAGTCTGTGCACAAACATGTATTGGCTTTCTTCGACACCTGATAATGGTAAGAATTGATGATTTGAATGAAAAAATTTCATTAGCCTGTGCTTAACCTCGCAGAGCAGCACTCCTTCCATTCCACCTTCATTAGCCAACCGATTTCGCTCTTGGGCAATGTCTTCAAAATCTCCTTGAGTTAGATTTAGACATCCACTAGTGTACAGGAAAAATAGGTTGCTTTTATGTTGTCCTGGAAAAAAACCTCATCTCTCTTCGTAACCGACATTGAAATTGGGAATTCTGTGCATAGTCGTCCAGATTTAAAAGAAATCGTACGGTCTCGTTTGAATAGAAACAGGCTGGTTGCATAAAACGAGGCAACCTCACTCCCGAATTCTGCCTTAGAGGGTGTCATGCTCTGTTGCAACTGGCCTGCCCCAATCTAAATGTGAAATCGTTCCCCAAGGGTTTACCGAAATGAGAAGGACTGCATAGAGCTTCCGCTTCAAAAATAAACAAATCAAAGAAATAAACAAATCATGTTAGTCATACAGCGAAGTATAACTAGAAAACACGAATGAAGAGAAATATGTTATCACGTGGAATCTAACTTTGCACCTCATATCCGAAATGCGAGTTATGGAGAGGCCCAATCAAAACATGGAAACCGAAAGTCTTATGGAGTCTGAGCCTATCTTTAATGATGCCAAACCGCTACTTTGTCGTTAAACTTATTCTTTGGTTTTCAGACCATTTTAATATTGAAAAACGTCTATACTAAGCATGTTTGCAAGAGACAAAAAAGAAATACAATCAGGCCACATTTCGTGCTTTTTCCATACCTTTCCCATGGGAAGTATAGCATAAGCTAATTTTTTAATCTTGCTTGGAAGTAGCTTTTGCTCTGTGTTCTCAAAAGTTGAAAAACTTACGCATAAAGCAGACGTTTCCTTTGCAAGTTACAGGATTCGCATCATTGCAGCTAGATACTCTTGTATTTCTGAAGTTGTCGTATTCGATGCAGAAAATACAGCTGCAATTTCTGTCTAGATTCTCGGCTAGTGTAAATTATATAATTTCAAATTGTTCTGTGTTATCTCCTTTCCAAATAGGATTCTCTTACTTTTGCTGCGTCTCTCTCAACCGTTGCTGTTAGATATAAATTGTTCAAAAATATAGCCATGTATTAACTTGTTTCTAGGTTGCTTTATAAGACTGGGATCTAGAAAATTTGTTGCGAAAATGCTTAGGAAAAGTCCCAGACCAAATCAAATACTGTGAAACAAAAAACATTTAATTTGAAACACCAGAATGTCGAATGGAATCTGGTAAATGGTTCCAAGTTTTGCAGGGATTCGATGTGCACGAAACTCTATTTCGAAAGAGTAGTTGAATTGAAATCGAAACCAAAAAGAATCTATCCGGGCCCTTTAGCAGTTTCGGAAATGATTGCAATGCTTGTACAACTTGTACTTGCGGTATGCTAACCTACCAAACTACTTTTGAGCAGTGCTAAGAAGCGCATGATCTCCTTTCTCCATGAATTTGGACAATTGAACAAAATGAAAGAAATGAAAAGAATCTCAAATCATGGTGCAAAAATTATGAATCAGCCTAAAATTGGCGGTAGTATGACCGAAATAAACTTTATTCTTCAGTCAAAGGCAGAACAAACATGATGCACTCACTCAATATAGCGATTTTCATTCCAGTCACCAAATTCGGGTATTCCTGTCGCAGAGTTAATTGAGGCTGATTTGATTATGAGCAATAGTAGAGGCCATATCAGTCTTGCACATTTTGTGCAAGACATCTGGAATTGTGGATTTGACAGTTGTTAGAAGAGTGAGTAGTATTTTCTTGAGTATACGACGACAAGATCCTTATTATAACAATGAAAATGCTGAGCAAATCTTATAAGAAAGCTTCATAGATGGGAAAAAGGAATTGCAGCTGTGAGTGAGGACGAAATCTTGCATTCTTGCTTCAAACTCATGAACAGTACTGCTTCAAAACGATTTCTACTGTAGTGAAGTGAAGGTTGAAGCCAATTTGTATGTCACCCTTATGGATATTGTTGCCATAAATACTAAGCCGGTCTACATTATGTTGGAAGAATGTTCTGTCGCACCATCTTCATAATATCCTGACTTTTTTGATTTCTCAATGAAATCGCTTGTTGCTAACTTTTCAGAAGAAGACATCACGTTTTCACAAAGGTGCCTCATAGTCTTTTGCATAGACTGCAAACTGTAAACAGAATTGCTCAAACTTCGAATTTTGTGACTTTAGTCATAAAACTAGACCTTGCGTTAAAAATCTCAGCACTCAGTATTATACGTTTTGCTAGTTACTCTTTTTAACTAAACAAAGTTCGCACGGGCTGGTTGTCCCTGAACTTTTCATAGATACAACCAGTCTGCGTAAAGAGAAATGAGCTAGCACTCAATATTACCATATTTTGGATTTTTTATCGCAAGATTTTTTTACGATCTAACTCGTATAATCGAAATTTGAGTAATTGAATTTCGTATCTATGTAGTGTATGCATGATAGAAAGCACTATAACACCTTTATAAACATCATTTCTTCTTCTGCATAAAATTTACAGCAAGGTTTTTCATTCAACGAAAGTTTTGAAATTTTTTGAAAGAACTTTCGCACCTTATAAATGAATACATTGAGGGAGGCCTCAACATAACAGCCATGCATATTATGCACTTACCTGACTAGAACTTTATTTTATCATGCATGAATGACTATGGCTCGATCCAAATGTTCATGCCGTTTTCGGACGCACCCGCCGATTCCGTAAAAAAATAGGCAAGCACCTTAAAAAATATTCGATAAAAACTTTTCTCCATTTCTAATGTTTTCAATGACCCTTTTTACAAGAGCTCAGAAACCCTAAAATGTTTTTACTCTTTTTTAAATCAAAATCAATTGGTAACTGTGTTTTTATGTCGCTGAAGAGGGATGGTTCAGAATAATTTTCAGTTTTTCAGAATAATTCTTCAAGCATTTCGAGTTAATAATTTGCGCAATTAGTAATGCAAGCAAATAGTTTAGATCAAAATTCGAAGGCTCCAGAACTCAATCATTATAAAATTGGTTTTAACAAGCGAACAATGCTCCGAAATAAAAGGTTCTAAAATTTCACGTGTAAACTGCAATTTGAGAAAAACAGCAATTTTGACTGCAAACTTGCTTTTACAAATAAATAGTATCAGAAAGACGGAAAAAAGCGGCATCATGGTTAATGAGTATGGATAGACCGAAGTTGAAATGTTCTCGTTTGACAAATAATTGGTAGGAATTTTTGGAATGTCAACCTAAAACTACTGCACAAATAATTTACCCTATCATCTGGCGAGTAAAACTTCCTTAGAACAGTGAATTAGGAATTCTGAAAATTGACCAAAGTCGACGAAGTATGTAGTTACATATAACATGGAGAAAGAAAAAATTTTGTATTGGTTAAGTTCGAATTGTCTACTCCTTCATTTGCGGGTTCGAGGCTGATCCAAAAAGGGCGCGAACTTTCGGACCCATATGCTTATTACCTCAGACTATCTTATTCAATTCGGCCTCGTCATGGGAAGCAAAATAAGCACTTACATATATATGAATAAAATATTTTGAAAGTCAGTTATGATTAGTTATGAGCAGCAAAAGCGTTGGCGAATCTTGTCAGACCTATGCTCATAATATGAAATGCATATCGCTAATCCACGCCGTGGCTGGACCTCCAATACCGCTTCGTATTACAACTTGGAATAATGGATAAAGTTCATTTATAGAAAAGAAGGAGAACCACAATCCTATGTTACCAAATTCTGCTACTAATATACTGCATGAGGTTGGTTTTTCACTGTTTTGAATACAATAAACCTCATGATACGTTCGTTAATGACGTGTGTAAAGTTGTAAGCAGCTATTTTCCTCGTGCTTCCTAATTCATACTCCTATCTATATTCCAGTCCCCTTGCGACAAAAACGTCACCTTGACAACATCTGAATAAAGAAACTACAACAGGAGTAGCTAGAAAGAGCATTTATCCTTGTTGGGATATTTTCTGTCATAAACATATTGAAATGACGCAAATAGTTGAATTGCGCGTGACTCGTAAAATACGAGATAATATCTCAAGAGTATGTACATATTGTTTGATCGTTGATATCCTTCTTCAAACTTGGTCTTTTGCCAACATTCAGGTTCCATTCTGTGGAGCTGGATTCAGCCTAGATCCTTAGCATAGAGCGATTGTTCCTTGCTACTCTATGATGCGGTAGAAACTTCGGCGTTTTGCGCCATTGTGAGGTAGCTGTCACCCTGTTTACTACTTAGCTTTTCACAATGTAAAGCTCAAATGGTGTAATCAAGGGAGCATTGATAGAACATTTGCACTTGCACATTTGGTGTAATCACGAAACATGAGACCATGTATATGTACTTGGCTTAACACGTTGAGGGTCGAGTCATTCTGGGCCACATCAAAATGTACCGAGTATCCAGATCTGCACTTTATCCTGAACACCTTCAGCGATGCCCGTTTCATATGACAATCAGGCCACCAGTCTTTTTACTGTATAGAAATACCTCAGAATTTTTTGTCTACACGTGAAAAACTGATGCACGAATATGCTAAACGGGAGTCAAAGCGTGCATACGCGCGTATGCACACGGTACTTAACGTGGTAACTTATGAACCAACTAAGTGTACATAGTGCCAGTCTCATATTCACAGCAACTCCAGTCAGCTTAGTGTGAGTGTTTTTGGGCTAAGCGGAATCTGGCTACTGGCCGAATCTTCAACCCACCGTAATGCTACAGTAAGAAGACCGATCGGTAGTTCGCTCTATACTGCACTAAGTTAGGGCTAGCTCTACAAGATGATACCTGAAGATGGACAAAAAAGCTTGTGAAGAGACATCAATAATCACTCTAATACAACTAATTGTAAGTCATCGAGTACAGAGGATAGAACAAGAAGGGCTCCTGCAGAAAGCGGCTCAAATGGGAATTTGGTTTGGATGATACATTCGATGACGATGGAAAAAGAATGCTCTTTGAAACTATGAATAAGAAGATCCATACTCCTACAGCAATCGCGCACATTATGCATCGTACAGTGTATCTCAAAAAGGCACGTTGATCTTGAATAATTTTACTGTAAAGCTCTATTGATCAACAGTCTAAATCAGAATTTGATCGAAATAAAGAGTTGCTATATAAGAAAAGCACATAATTCTTTTTTTCTTCCATGCCCTCGCATAGCTCCAGCTGATTGACAGAAAAAGACTCCAAAGCGTAAAGTGCGGTGCATAGTTATTCGGACAGCTGATTTTTTTAGGTATTTCGGAACTTTTTAAAAGAAACTCAAAAAAGCGTTAGTACAGAAAGAGCCGGTTTAT